TTTTTTTTTTTTTTTTTTATATTTAAAATTTTATTTTTTTCTTTTTTTTTTTTAAAATTTTAAAAAAAATCCTTTACCCCATTGTGGTAAATAAAAAAAAAAAAAAAAAAAAAAATATAAAATATAAAATATAAAAAAATAATAATAATAAACTAAATTAAATATAATAAAATAAAATAAAATAAAATAAAATAAAATAAAATAAAAAATAATTTCAATAGTAATAAAATAAAATATAGTTATTTTATTTTATTTAAATAATTCTATAAATTGAATTTGTGCATATGTTTTATGTTTATTAATAAAATAAATAAAATAAAATAAAGTAATATATATTTTCGTCTAATTTGTTCATCCACATTTAGTTATTTCGAATAAATTAATAAAAGGAATTCTTTCAAAATAGTTAAAAGTGTTTAATCTTTTTTACCATATAATCATTTATTAATCATTTATTTATATCATATAATCACTTAATAAATCCATATACCAAATATATATACATTTACATTTAAAAATAAATAAAATAAAATAAAAAATAAAATAAAATTGTACTAAATCACTATTTATCAACAAACAAACAAATAAAAATTTTCTTTTTTTTTTTTTTAAATAACTTGTTATAACACAACCACCACTACTTTAATAAAAAAAGGTACATTTTAATATTACAAATTTATATATTTTTATTAAAATAGAAAACTTATATATAAATATTTTTACTTAATCAATATTTGTATATAAATATATAATTAATATATATAAGTATATTTATATATATATTTAAAATACACAGCAACAATAACACACCAACACACTAGCACACCCTTTAACACACACTTTCAATCAATTGGATTAATTAAAAAAAAAAAAAAAGCTAAAATTAACACCTGTGTTGAGAGTGTTGTTATATAACATATTATTTTTTAAATTTTGTATGTTATGGCTGCTTTGTTTTTGTTTTGTTTTTTTTTTTTAATTATTTTTTTATTTTTTATTCTTTGTTTTATGATAATTTTAATTATTTTTTTTTTAAAAAAATTTATATTTTTCATAATATAATAATAATAATAATAATAAATAATTTTAAACATCACAACCTTTGTTTTTTTATAAATTATAAAATTATAAAATTATTAATTTATTAACCTAATATTTTTTATTTTTAAAAAATTTAAAAAATTTAAAATTTTTTTTATATTGTTTTTTTTTCTAATATAAATTTAGATTTTAAAAAAGATTCAATAACACAAACAAGGGATTCTTATAGTATAATTTAACAATAACTTTTCCAATTACTTATAAACAAATTTTCGTCAAGTCTAATTGGAGATACAAACAATAATAATAATAATAATAATAATAATAATAATATTATATATACCATAAATTTTAAATAATGAAGAGTAAATCATCAAGCCAATCACCAAACCAATCACCAAGTCAATCACCAAATCATAGTAGAAACGATGGTAATCATGATGGCAGTGTAACAGAATTAGGTCGATCATTTCAAGAAAAACTAGAAGTTGGATTAAGTTTTTTTAGTAGAAGTAAAAGTAATAGTTTTAGTTTTTTTGGTAAAAAGAGTCATCATAATGGAAGCAATGGTTTAAATAATAGTATAAATAGCGAGTTAGAAAATGACAATAATGATGATCAAGAAAATTGTATACAAAATTTTACACCTTTGATATTAAATGAACCAATAAAAATAAATAATAATAATAATAATAATAATAACAATACAATAAATAATAATAATTTTGAAAATAAAAATAAAATAGTTTTTGAAGAAATAACACCAATAATACAAATTAATGGTTTTTTAAATAATAATAATAATAATAATAATAATAATATACCTAATATACATAATATACATAATATACACAATATAAATAATATAAATAATAATCATTTAGAGGATCAAGAGTTTGATGGAGGTTTCAATTTTTTTGATTTACCCTTAGAAATTAGAATGCATATTTTTTCATTTACAGAAGCCTCAGATCTTTCTAGAACGTGTGTAGTTTCAAAATATTGGAAAAGTATGGTAGATGATGAACAATTATGGTGTAATTTAAGTAGATCATCATTTGGCGGTAGTAGTAAAACTGAAATTGTAAATATACAATCTAATTAATTATAATTATTATAATCAAAAATTTTAGGAAATATATACTTATTTATTTTTTTATTTTCAAAGGATTGGAAAAAAACTGTAATTAAAAATTTAGTAAAATTAAGAGAATTTGGGGATAAAGATACAGATTTAAAACTATTATGGGCATGTGAAAATGGCCACGATCAAATTTTACAAAGAGCATTTGATAGCAAGAAAACAATTGTAATTTCGCCAAATATCTATGGTTTAAATGGTTCAATTCCTTCAGCATCAATATCATCCAACCATAATAATACAATGACATCAACCAATGTAAATAATGAAAATAATGATAATAATGATAACAATAATGTAAATAGTGAAACCGAAAATGAAAATGATGATGAACGTAATCAAGCCACGAATAACAATGGCAATAATGATTATCAAAATCCTATGGGTATTGACGATTTAGAAATCGAAGAATTGGAAATAAACAATTCAGCATCATCACCAATGATGGGAGATGGTTGTACAATTTCATTAAAGAAAAGAAATAAATTTTTATTAAAAGCATCATATAAAGGACATCGATCAGTAATTGAGTGCCTTTTAAGAAATGGTGCAGAAATCGAAACCAACACAAGATCAGGATTTACAGCACTTCACATGGCATGTGGTAAAGGTCATAGAGATGCTGCAGAATGCTTAATTTTAGCCAACTCAAAAATCGAATGTAAAAATAAAAATGGTTCAACTCCACTCCACACAGCAGCTCAAAAAGGACATGTCGAAATTGTAAAGTTATTGATTGAACATGGTGCAAATATTGAAGCAACTAACATCAATGGTGTAACACCACTCAACTCTGCTGCTCATAATGGTCACACTGAAGTGGTTCGTTGTTTATTATACCACAAGGCCAATATGGAAGCTATTAATAAAAATGGTATTACTCCCTTGTATTCTGCCGCTCACAGAGGTCATTTCCATGTCGTAAAATGTCTCTTGGAGTACAATGCCAATATTGAAGGTACAACTAAAAACCATGGCGCTACACCGCTCTACATCTCTGCTCAAGAAGGTTATACTGAAATTGTTTCACTCCTTTTAGATAATAATGCAAATGTAGAAGCAAAGATCCGATCTGGTATGAGATGCGGTGCTACACCTCTTTACACTGCATCACACAGAGGTCATGTTAAAATCGTTGAACTCTTATTAAAATATAAAGCAAATACTCAAGTAACCGATAGAAATGGTGCCACTCCTCTCCATAAAGCTGCTTCTGAAGGACACATTGATGTCGTAGAATGCCTCCTTAGAAATAATGCTGATATTAGAGCTTTATCCCGTGAGGGTAATTCTCCATTAGATGTTGCTCACAAAAGCTGTAGAAAAATTTTAAAACAAGCTGATATTGCCAAAACCGGAAATAACACTTCTTTAGACTGTTTAATAATGTAAATCACCACCACACATCAAAATTATAGAATCTTTAATATAAATTTTTTTTTATTTTTTTTTATTAGATATAAAAAAAAATCAAGGAAAATAAAATATAAACTTTTTTTTTTTTTTTGTTATATATTTTTTCTTTTATTATCTTTTTATGTACCTTTTTTAAACCTTTTATATTTTATAAATATTAGAGATGGGGGAGGGGGAAGTTTAATTAAATTTAATATTTTTTTTTTTTTATTTTTTATTAATTTTTTTTATTTTATTTTTTTAAATAAATTTTTTTTTTTTTTTTTTTCATTATTTTTTTTTATTTGTTTTGTGTGATATACCAAAATTAAATAATTTTTTTTTTTTTTTTTCAAAATGTCTTTGTCATCATCAACAACAAACTCAAATTCAAAAAATAAAAAAGGTAATCATAAAAGTGATAAGGTCTATGACCTAACACCATATGATGCCCCAAGATTACAGGGATTTTTATTAAAGTCAACAGTTTTCTTGTGTGAGTCTCATTATTTAAAGTAAGTAAATTCTTACCAAAAAATAATAAAAAAAAAAAAAAAATCTAATTATTTTAATTTATAGAAATTCATTTTTATCAACCCTTTATGTAAAAAATAAAGTACCTGTTATTACACAATTTAATACAGACAATATGCCAACATTTTACCCAATTGTCGAAAAACAACCAGAGGGCGATTTTAAATTTAAAAAATATTTTGCAGAAGATATATTTTTAGATCAAAATTTAATTGATATTTGTCAATCATCATCACAAAATGAATCATCCTCATCATCCTCATCATCAAATATTAATATACCAGAAAATAACTCAATATTTATCTATAATAAACTATACAAGAGCAATAAAGCATCACCAAATGATATTTTAAATAACTTCATTGAGGTTAAAAATCATTCAGATGAACAATCACCACCATTAGCAGCATTTATTAAAGTATTAGAAAGTGATATTAAAGAACAAGCAAATCAAAGCTCAGAACGTTGGAAAAATAAGGAGCCACTTTCAATTTTAGATGGTGTACCAATTTCAATTAAAGATGAATTGGATCAAATAGGCTATCATACCACTTGTGGTACCACTTTCCTCAGTAAATGTTATCCAAATGTAAAAGAGGAAGATTCATTTGTAGCTAAAAAACTTCGTGAAAGAGGAGCAATTCTAGTTGGTAAAAATAATATGCATGAAATTGGTATTTCAACTTTAGGCTACAATACTCATTTTGGTTTTACTCGTAACCCATATAATATCAATCACTATCCAGGTGGAAGTTCATCTGGTTCTGCTGCCTCAGTTTCATCAGGTTTAAATCCAAGTAAAGTATAAAATTTTATACCATTAGCTTCATTATAATATTAACCTTTTATTTTTATTTTACTTTAGTTAGTATTGGTTGTGATGGTGGTGGTTCAATTAGAGTACCTGCATCATTATGTGGAGTTGTTGGAATAAAACCAACTTTTGCAAGAGTGTCCCACGGCGGTGTATTTGAGTTGTGCTATTCAGTTGGTCATATTGGACCCATCGGTTCCTGTGTAGTTGACACTGCTGTAGGTTATGCTTGTATTGCCGGGGCTGATCCAAAAGACCCCCAATCAGTTACAGCAGAGCAATTGGGTGGTAAACCAACATTACCAATTTTCACTGAAATCCCAATGGAGCAACCACTAAAGGGTTTGAAAATAGGTATCTTTAAAGATTGGATAAATGATTGTATTGAAGATATTAAAGAACAAACTTATAGTAAGTATTATAAATATGTAAAATAGTTATGGTCCCACTAATAATAATTCAAAATTAAATTTCATATAGAGTGTATCGATATTTTAAGAGAGCAAGGGGCTGAAATTGTTGAAATCGAAATACCAAATCTTTTAGTAAGCAGAATTTCTCAACTTGTATTGATTTTATCAGAAATGAAAACCTCAATGAAAAGAGTATGTATCACTATAAATAATGTATATTTTATAATTATTAAAATCTAATATTCATTTTCTTTTTTTTTTTCAAAACACAGTTTAAAAACCACAACAATGAATTTCAACTTGATAGTAGAATATCATTAGCAATTGCAGGGATGTTTACAGCAGAGGATTATATTCAATCAAATAGAATTAGAACATATTGTATTGAGGAGCTTAAAAAGATATTCACAAATGTTGACGCAATTGTAACTCCAACAAACGGTGTTGTGGCTCCAGAAATTGAAAAAGGTGTACCCCAACTAGGTGAAGTTAATATTCGTGCTGTTGGTGATCTTATGAAATTCGTATTCCTTGGTAACATCTCTGGTATACCAGGTATTTCAATTCCAATTGGTGTTACCAAACAGAATAATTTACCAATAGGTTTCCAAATTGTAAGTAAAAAAACAGCACTATATTTTACACATAAATTTCAAAATTAATTAATATATTTTTTTTATTTTTTTTTTTATGTATAGATGGGTAAATGGTGGGAAGAAGATTTGTTATTTTACATTTCATTTGTTTTAGAAAGAAATATTAAATTTAATGGTAAACCACAATATTTCAACTCTCCATTAAAAGTTTCCATTGAAAATAACAACAGCAACAGCAACAATAATAATAATGAAAGTACCAATGAAAATAATAAAGAAAACAATACCAATATTCCAACAAATAATAATGAAGAAAACAAATCAGATAAATAAATAAAATATTCCTCAAAAAAAAAAAAAAAAAAAAAAAAAAAAAATTAAATAAATGTTATGTATTATACGAAAAGACTATTCGTAAAATTATTTTTAAACTATTTTCCGTTTCGGTATTAGGAAAAGAACATAGAACCGATCAAAAAAATGATTTATTTGAATTTTTTATATTTTTTTGAATTTAATTTATTCAAAAAGAAATTTTATTTTTTTAATTTTATTTTTTTTTTTTTTTAAATAATTTTTTTCATTTTTTAATTTATTACCTTTTTTTTTTTTCTTTTTTACTTTTCTTTTGTTATGCTTAAAAATTTAACAAATACATTAAATTCATTAAATAAATTAAATAGATTTAATAATAATAATAGCTATTTTATTTATAATAAATATTTTTCAACAATAAATAATAATCATAATAATAGATTTAAAATGGGTGATAAATTAGTTTTAGATAATGCCAAAAAAGCTGCAGCCTACAAAGCAGTTGATGAATATGTTAAAGATGGTATGAATGTTGGTATTGGTAGTGGCAGTACAATCAAATATGCAGTTGACAGAATTAAAGAATTGGGTTTAAAAGTAACCTGTGTACCAACATCATTTCAATCTACTCAATTAATTATTGAAGCTGGTTTAGTATTATCAGATCTTTCACGTACTCCAAAATTACATGTTACCATCGATGGTGCTGATGAATGCGATAAAGATTTCAATATAATTAAAGGTGGTGGTGCTTGCCAATTACAAGAAAAATGTGTTGCTTATGTCTCTGACACCTTATTAATCGTTGCAGATTATACCAAAGATAGCGTTCAATTAGGTGACACCTGGAAAAAAGGTATCCCAATCGAAGTTATTCCAATGGCTTATGTTCCAGTTATGAAAAAATTAGAATCTCTTTCTTTAAAACCAGTCCTTCGTATGGCCGTTAATAAAGCCGGTCCAGTAGTCAGCGACAACGGTAATTTCATTATTGATGCCATTTTTACCCCACCACTCCAAAATATTCCACAATTAGCCATTGATATTAAAATGATTCCAGGTGTTGTTGAAACTGGACTTTTCATTAATATGGCTAAAAAGCTTTATTTTGGTCAAAAAGATGGTTCAGTCATTTCAAAAACTCTCTAAATATCAAATATATCTTTTACAACTTAGTAATATAACATATCTTTTTTTCTTTTTTCCTTTTATTTTTTTTTATATTCAAATCCGTAGATCAAAAATTATGTAAAAAATAAAGTGTATTAACACTCACCCCAAAAAAAAAACAATTCATTTAATTTTATTTTTTTTTAATTTTTTAATTTTTATTAAATTTATTAAGTATTTTTTAATTTTTTTTTTTTTAAATTTTCAATCAACCACAAACAAATAAATTTTTTCTATATTTTTAACATGGATATATTAAAGATTATAACAATTGTAATTTTATTAATTTTTGTAAATATAGTAAATTCTCAATATTCTGCAAATTGGACAGAATTAAATAAAAGACCAAATCCTGCTTGGGTATGTATAGTTGATAAATATTAAATCTTTATTATAAACACTAATATAATTTTTTATTTTTAGTATGACGAGGTTAAATTTGGAGTAGGTAATATATTAAACTGTAAAAAAAAAATAAAAAACTAATTATATTTTAAATATTATTAGATTTTCATTCATTTTGGTATTTATTCAGTTCCAGCATTTAATAATGGGTCTTATGCAGAATGGTATTGGTGGAATTTAGAGACTGGAAGTGATAATAATCAGACAAGAAATTGGCATGATAAACATTTTGGAAGCAATTTTAAATATCAAGATTTTGCTCCAATGTTTAATTTAAGAGATTTTGATGCAAATGATTGGGCTCAAACTATTGAAAAATCTGGTGCAAAATATGTGGTTCTGACATCAAAACACCACGAAGGTTATACTCTTTGGCAATCAAATCAATCTTGGAATTGGAATTCTGTTGATAATGGCCCTGGTATTGATATTGTTGGTGAGCTTACAAAAGCAGTTAAGAATTTAGGAATGCATATGGGTTTATATCATTCGCTATATGGTAAATATTTATTTTATTTAAAAATTATATTTTATTGAAAATATTTATTTTATTTAATTTTATTTTAGAATGGTATAATCCACTATACAATTCAGATAAAGACTCTGGTAATCCCCCCAAAAAAGATGTATATGTGCAACAAGTTTTAATGCCAATGCTAATGGATCGTTAGTAACCAAACTAAAATAAACTATTAAATGTCAAATATTAATAATTTCTTTTTTTTTTTATTTTATTTATAGTTGTTAATACTTACGAACCACATATTATTTGGGCTGATGGTGAATGGGAACAAACATCTAGTTATTGGAAATCCACAGAATTTTTATCATGGTTATACAGCGATAGTCCTGTAAAAGATCAAGTAGTTGTTAATGATAGATGGGGATCTGAATGCAGAGGTGTTGATGGAGGTTTTTTCACAGGTAACGATCATTGGCAAGTAAGTAGTTACAATATTTAAAGTATATATAGTTAGTTGTTAATTCATTCATTTATTTAATAAAGCCAGGTCATTTAGTTTCGCACAAGTGGGAAAATTGTGAAACTTTTGATAACTCTTATGGATATAACCAATTTCAACCTGCAAAAGCATATTCAAACTCAACAGAGTTAATTAGAGAATTTGTTGAAACAGTAGCTTGTGGTGGCAATTTCTTATTAGATATAGGCCCCGATTCCGAAGGAGTTATACCAATCAATGAACAAAATAATCTTTTAGATATGGGTTTTTGGTTACAAATCAATGGTGAAGCTATTTATGGATCCTCACCTTGGAGAGTACAGAATCAAACAGAAAGTATTTGGTTTACCACAAACACAACCAATGGTAATGTCTATGCATTCGTCTATGAATATCCTGAAACTGGTCAAATAGTATTAAAGGATCCACAATGTAAATCTTCAAGTGTAGTAACTCTATTAGGTTTTAAAAGCTCTGCTAAAATTACAACTCAATTACCCAAAAACGATCAACCTGGAATAACTTTAAATTTACCTTTTGCTGCACCACAAGATTATCCACCTTTCGTTTATGTATTTAAATTTACTGGTTGTGAATAAAATAAAAAAAATTTCCATACATATTTTTTATACAAATAAAAAATATTTTAACAGAAATTTACACCTCTTTACATTTTTTATTTTTATATTTATTTCTGATTAAACCAAAAAATAATATTTTAATTATTATAAACAAATCTACTCCTGGTATACTAGGCGATATGTGATATGCATATACTCCATTACACCCAATTTATTATTTTCAAAATATTGCACAGCGAAAGGCTGAAAAAAAGTGTGATTGGTGATAAAAAAAAATATGTAAATAAGATATTTTTTTTTTTTTTTTTTTTTTAATTTTTATTTAAAAAAATAAACAATAACGGTTTTTATATAAAATTTATTTTTAACATTTTTTTTTTTTAAATTTAATCAAAAAATAATCTTCACAGAAAATTATTTTTTGATAATTATAAATAATTATTATTTATTGTTTATAGTTTATTAACTCCATAGATGTAAGTTATTTAAAGTAATTGTTTATATTGTTTATATAATCAATAATATCCCAATATCATTTAATGATTATTATTATTATAATGGGTATAGTTCTTTTAAAACTATTCTATTCTATTATTTATAGTAATATCATTAATTTATATACAAAATTTTAAAATAGATAAAATATCTGTTATATTTTTTTGGTATTACCCATTCCAAAAATAATTTTTTATTTCTTATACCAATAAAATAAACATAATATGTGATATTGTTATAATAAATTATTTAATATAAATATAGTTTGTGAAATAACAAACAATATTATTAGTAATAAAATATTTAGAGCCAATATATGTACATATATAATATACTATTGGAGGGGTGTGGGGTAAAAATAAATTTTTTTTTTTTATTTTTATTTTTTTTAAAATAAAAATATTAATATAGTAATAAATGGGTGTGTGGTTGGTAATTTATTTCTAGATTTTATTAAATTACGCATCAAGAAAAATGTTTTTTTTATATTAAGAATAATTTGTGTGGTTTATGTTTTTTTTTTTTTTTCCAATTTATTTTTTTTTCAAACAAATAAGTAATAACAATATTTAAAAATAATAATAAAAATAATAATAATAATTGTAATAATTAAAATTTAAATTTGTTGTCTTAACTAAATTATGGTATCATATATATTATTTATATGATATTTTTTTTTGAACATCATATAAAATAATATACTGTATAAAATAAAATTTTTTACAAATTTTTTACATATATATCATTTTAAAAATAATTTTAAAATCTAATAATTATAACAAAAAAATTAATATAATAGTAATAATTAAACAAACAGTATTAATTATTGTTTTTTGTTTTTTTTTTTTTAATTTTCACAAATAATAAAATTGTGATTTTTTTTTTTAATAATAAATTTATAATAATAAATATCAATAAAAATATAAATAAAGTTATCGAATAAAAAGAAATAACAACAAATATAGTTTTATATATTCCTATTAAATAATATTAATATAATATTATTATTTATAAAATAAAAATGACAGTAACGGATAGTAGATATAATACATTAAATAGAAATAGCAAAAGAATGGAACCACCTCCAATTACCCAAGAGGTTTTGGCATCGGCAAAAATCTCAAAAAAAGATAATATTCTAATTAATGCCAATGCAGAAGATGGTAGTGTTCACACATTTTCAGAAGAAGAAAAAGGTAATTATATATTTTTTTTTTATTTGCCCAAGTCTTTTTTAATTTTGTTTTTATTTTAAAAAATTACTAATATTTTTTTTTTTTAAATAATTTTTTAATTTAGTTGCATACTCGAAATTTATTACTGAAAGATTAATAGAGCAAGAAGAAGAGTTGTCTAATTATATACCAATTGACCCATCAACTGAACAGTTATTTACAGCATGTAGCGATGGTGTCTTATTAAAGTAATAATAAAATATTTCATTTAAAATCATTACCTATAAATACTAATAGATTTTTATTTTATAGTAAATTAATGGAATCATTATTTTTATCACAAGTTAGTTTAAAGGGTTTATGTTTGAAGAAAACTATGAATCCATTTGAAATGATTCAAAATCAAAACATTGTTATTAAAAATGCAATTGAAGTTGGTTGTATTATTGTAAACATTGGTGCTCAAGATTTAATAAATTCAACACCATATCTAGTACTTGGTATTATTTGGCAAATTATTAAGGTAAGAAAAAATGATTTATAAATTTATAAATTATTAAAATTTTTTTTTGTTATTAATAAATTATTATTTTTAATTTAATAGGCCGGTTTATTATCTAAAGTTAATCAAAATGCCAATGAAATTTTAGAAATTTTGTTTGAAGAGGATTCCGTTAAAGAAGTTGATAACTCCCAAAATGATGAGCATTCAGCAGAAGAAATTTTATTAAGATGGGTAAACTATCATTTAGAAAAAGAAGGTTGTGAAAGAAGAGTATCAAATTTTAGTGAAGATATCCAAGATAGTGTCGTATACTCCCATCTTTTCCATCAATTAGTACCAATTGAATTTGGAAATCTTGTAAATGATATCCATAAAGAATCAAACTTGTTTTCAAGAGCTGAAATGATTACAAATGCATGTGAAAAAATTGGTGTAAAGTGTTTCTTAACCCCATCAGATATTGCTCTAGGACACCCAAAATTAAATCTTGCACTTGTTGCATCATTATTTAACTCTGAAGCTGCCATTGCCAATCTTAGAAAAGAATTAGAAGAAAAACAAAGAAGTGAAACAGAAAGAGCAGAACGTGAACGTGAAAGATTAGAAAAACAACGTCAAGAAATGGAAAGAATTGAACGTGAACGTTTAGAACAAGAAAGATTAGAAAGAGAGCGTTTAGAAAGAGAACGTTTAGAACAAGAAAGATTAGAACGTGAACGTTTAGAACAAGAAAGACTAGAACGTGAACGTTTAGAAAGAGAGAGATTAGAACAAGAAAGATTAGAACAAGAAAGACTAGAACGTGAACGTTTAGAACTAGAACGTCTTGAACAAGAAAGACTCCAACGTGAATTGGAAGAGCGTTTAGAACAAGAACGTTTGGAGCAAGAGCGTCAAGAAATGGAAGAACGTGAACGTATCGAGCGTGAGCGTATCGAAAGAGAACGTTTAGAAATGGAGGAACAAGAGCGTATCGAGCGTGAGCGTATCGAAAGAGAACGTATAGAAATTGAAGAACGTGAACGTATCGAAAGAGAGCGTATTGAAAGAGAACGTTTTGAATTAGAGGAACAAGAGCGTCTTGAACGTGAAAGATTAGAACGTGAAAGATTAGAACAGGAACGTTTAGAAAAAGAACAACGTGACCAAGAAAAGAGACAACGCGCCGCAGAAATGGAAAGAATGGAAAATAATAAAGAGTATAAAATTGCTATTCGTATTCAAAAAAGAATGACTGATGATACAAGTTTAACCGATAATATGGAAAAGTTGTCTGGTGACATCACAGAATTAAAAAGAAATTTAATTGGTGAATTTAGAAATACCAATGGACTCCATGTAGAATTAAAGAAAATAACCAAAAATATAGATAGAGTACTCGAGAACAAAAAAGAAGGTAAAAAACTAAAGAAAATGAAAAAAGTAATTATCAAACCGGTAAAAGGTGTACCAAATGGTTTAGACCCACATAAAATGAAAGCTTATCAATCACTCTTCTATTACCTTCAAAACAAACCAGAGATAATGGGTAAACTTTTATTCCTTTTAGATACCAGCCAAATGGGTAAATCTTTTGATAGCTTAATGCTTTCTATGTTCCCATACGAAATTAGTCCACGTGAAGAAGATCTTTTCCTTAGAGCTTTAGCAGTTGGTATTGAATATCAAATTAGAGTTTCAGAAAATCTAAATGACTTTTTACAATCAGACTCTGTTCCAATGGTTCTATTATACCAATATTTTAAAAAGAAGGGTTTCAAATATCTTAAGGAAGTTATCACTCCACTCATCCTTAAAGTATTGGATCAAGAAGACTTAAATTTAAATTTTGATCCTTTCTGGATAGCAAAAGAAATTCAAAGAGAAAAAGAAATTAAAGAAGGTAAAAAATCGGATAAACGTGTTCAAGATCAAACATTTGAACAATTAATGGGTAACAACGATATTCTTTCAATTTTTAATACTCGTTGTTTGAAATTAGTAGAAATTGCACACGAATTTTTAGAAAAGATTGTTAAATCAATGGAACAAATTCCAGTTCAACTTCGTTATTTATGTCGTGTTATTGTCGAAAAATCAAAATATGGATTTAATTCAAAATTACCAGCCAATAGAGAGAAATATATTAGTTACTTTTTATTAATTTATCGTTTCATCAATCCAATCATTTCATCACCAGATCTTTTAAATGAATTGGTACTCTTACAACACCCATATATTTCAAAACAAGCTCGTTTCAATTTATCACAAATTTCTCGTCTTATTCAATCATTGTTTAGTGGTTCTGCATGGATGAATAATTTCCCAACTGTATATATCAATAAATGGATCATTCAAAATCAAAGTGCCGCTGAAAAATTCCTTGTTGAATGCTGTAAAGTACCCGAATTAAATGAACTCATTCACTATCGTGAATATAATGAAGTCATGAAAGAAAACAATATCAAGTACTGTTCAGTTATCAACATTACAGAAATAATTTGGCTTCATGAAACTATTTTATCAAACTTTTACAATTTAGAGGATATCGGTAATCTTAAAGAATTAAATGACAAAACCATTCAAGAACTTGCACACAGTGGAAATATGAGATTGGATAAAGGCAAATATGTCACTACACCAAGACAATCTCCAATGGCTCCAGGTTTAGCAGCAAATCAAAGATTAAATAGAGATTGGCCATTAAGAGGTATTTTAGATGACATTGATTTCCCTATTCAACTACCAGAGCAAGGAGATCGTTCAATTCAATTAACATTTATCAATCGTTTTGATGCTAACCCAGATGATGAAGATGATGAAGATGATTGGAAACAAGCAAAACTATGGATGATCGATATTTTTGCAAGAAGCCAACCACCAAGAAAAGATCAAAATACAATTCAAATGATCAAAGATGCAGTTTGTTTCTTCAAGACCGGTAATAACAGTTCTGACAATATGACATTAATCTCCAAAGCAGATAAACTTGTCGAATTATTAAGATCCTTTGATCGTGAAGATTGTACTGACGATTTAGAAGATGAAGATTGCTTTGAACTCTTTTTATTAGAGGTCGAACAAGAACTCATATCTGTATTAAGAAAGAATAAACTCATGAGATCAGAGTTAACTCGTCTCCACAGCCTTCTCAAATCAGTACGTGTCGAATACACGCCATTAGAACATTTAATCAAATTCCAACAAGATCAATTAAAGAAAGCAATTGCAAAGAATGAATTAAAGAAAACTCAACTCACCATTCCAAAAAATAAAAACGCAAATAAACCACATAAATTTATTTTAGCAGATTTGGTAAAGAAGGGTATGATACTTCGTTGTGAACTCCCAGAATCATCTTATAGTAAAACTAAAATTTATATCAAAGGAGTTGGTCCTGGTCTCTTTGAAATCGAAGCTAAATTTGGTCCAATTACAAAACAAATTCAATTAGAGTTGGATGACTTGTTAGAAAAATCAAAAAATCATATCGATGAATATCCATTAGAAGGTATTACATTAGATATTACTTTAACTATTCATTTATTAATGAAATTATTTAGTTTATAAAATAATAATAAAATATAAAAAAATAATTTAAAATTATAATATCTTTTTCTTAACCATTATTTATTCATCTTTTTTTTAATAAACTAAATCAATTAAAACCAGTACAAAACTTTAAATCTTACAAAATGGGTTTTATTTTTATTATTTTTTTTTTACTATTATTATATTTTTATTATATTATTAAATTTATTTAAATAAATGTAAAAATCTATCTTTTAATGATTGCATATCGTCAATTGCTGGTCTAACATCGATATAGATACCAATTGATTTACCTGAATCCTTATCAATTTTTCCTTCATAAAAATCAATAATATAACGAATTTGTTTACCGTTTCTATCAACAATCCAATCGTGTCTATCAAATGGTAATTTATATCCTAAAAATGTATTTAAAAATCTGGCTTTTGGACTAAAATCTTGAGCTCTACCTTTAAATTTAACTAATTTTGGTTGTGGGCATTCTCTATTTAAAAATAATAATTTTTATTATTAGTTTTTTTTATATTGATATATTATATTTTATTATTATTATTTATATTTGTTATTATTTATTATTAATGCTATTTTAATTATGATTATTTATATTGATTTTATTTACTCTTTATATTCATTTTCCCATTCTAAAACATCATTCCAACATTTTTCATTTACAGTATTATGAATTGAAATAACAACATTCATATCATCTTCTTTTGGTTCATATTGTTTACGTTTCATTGCATTAAAAAACATTTGTGGTGAAGGATATTGCCAATTGTCTTTTTCAGTTCTTGGGATGGTTGAGGTAATACGATCAGTTGATAATGGTTTAGTTTGATCTGGGTGTGGGTTTTGATTTGGTCTATACATAACATTGGCTGGATTAATATCTGTACTTTTATCATGTGCAATTGGGCACCCACCTCCCATTGGATTGTTATTATTATCACCCATTTTATTTGTTTTATAAAATATCTCTTTTTATTTATTAATGAAAAATAAAAATAAAAAATTTTAAAATTTTTTTTATTTTTCTAAAAAACTTTTCGTTTTTTGTTAAAAAAATTAATTTTTTTTTTTTTTAATTTTTTTTTTTTTTTTAATTTTTTTTATTTATATACAACAAATGATTATTGTTCTTTTAAAATTATGATATCAAATAAAAAAAATAATAATAATGATTGAAATTAATAATTAAAAAACTAAATTTAAAAATTAAAAAAAAATTAAAAATAAATTTATTTATTGCGCTTTTTTTTTTTCGGACAGATTAATTTACAAGATTTAATTAATGATTTAATTAATTATTTAATAAAGGATTAAGTGTTTTTCATTTTTATCGTGGCATTTGGAGCAACCAGAACAGAATCTAGCAGAGTATTTTGGGGGTTCACCTGGAACAAATTTAATATTTGGATCAAAATCTACAATAACATTATTGAATGATGGAATAATTTGACTACTCTCGCTTTGATTTTCAACTAAGGAGGATGATACTTCTTTTTCTTCTTTATTTTCAATGTTTAATTGGTCAATGATTGAATTTTTATTTTTGTCATTGGTATCTATATTAATAATACTTGATTCTTCGTCATCATTGATTATTTTATTATTAGAAATAAGATTTTCTTGTTGATTTAAATCAACATAAACTTTAATATCTCTATTCTTTAATTTTATTTTTGTTAAACTATTAATGTGAAGTTGTGAAATATTTAATAAAATATAAACAGTGATAATGATAATAAATAATTTAATAAAAATTGTTTTTTGTATTAATTTCATTTTTTATTATAAAACTAAATAAATAAATGTTATTATATTGATTTGAATATTTTATTTTTTTAAAAGAATGTAATTTATAGGGTTTTAATATTTGAAAAAAATATAAAAAAATATAAAAAAAAAAGAAAAAAATTAAATTGTAAAATAAAAATTTTAATATAGTTTGATTGTATGTTTGTGATATGGATACTTTAAATTTTTTGATGAATTAGGAAACTTTATTGATTGTTTTTTAATGTCATTATAAAAATCAAGAGGTTTTTTTTAATAATTTTCAAAAATTGTATAAAAGGATTTGATTAAATTGGGGGTGGTTTTTAAAAAATATATAGGTAATCTTTCATTTGTGATATTTATTATTATTTTTTTAAAACTATAATAAAAAAGTAAAAATATGTGTGTTTTTAAAATCAACAAAGGGTGTGAAAATACTAAACTATATATGATATTTTGATTACACACTCAATCAATCAAATTGAAGATGGATAGTAATAGTAATAATTATCAAGTGGGTGGGGTATTTTTTTTTCAAAAAAAAAAAAAAAAACAAAATTTTTATTTTTTTATTTTTTTATTTTTTATTTTTTTTCATTTTTTTTTTTTAATTTTATAAATAAATAATTATTATCTTGATTTTTTTTCATTATCGTAATTATCATAACCAATCAAATTTAAGATACAATCTCCCATATAATAATATCAACAATCATAATAAAAATAATAATCAAGTTTATAATAAAATAATAAAATAAACCCCCTCAAACCCACATTCAAAAGGCAATATTATAAAATAAAATAGTATAAACTTAAAAAATTATAACCGCTTGCAATACAACACATTCAAACACACAACCACCCAATCAAACTACAAAACAATAAATATAATTATAATAATAATATGTCAGCAACAAGCACAATCGATAAATTTTTTGAAAATAAAAAACAATGTCAATTTCAAAATTGGTATGATAAATTTAAAGCCGTTACATTTAGCAGCGTTATTATACCACTCCCAAAAATTTTTATAGATTATTTACAAAGTGATGATTTCTCATTTGGTAATGGTGATTTTCCAGAATTTAGAGTAGAAGATAACGATTTACTAGATGATAACAATTGGTCAACACCAACAACAATTACAAAACCAGACCCAAAATATTATCAAAGTAATAGCGATAATGAAGAAGAAAGTGATGATGATGATGATGATGATGAAGAAGAAGAGGAAAATTCAAGTAAAAACAAAAGAGTTATCAAACAAACAGATTTTCCAGAGTTATTAGATAAAATTAAAACAGCAATTGAAAAAATGGGTGGCACTGTTATTCCAAAATTAAATTGGTCAGCTCCTAAAGATGCAATTTGGATGAATACTTACAACTCTCTAAAATGCACAACACCAACCGATATTTTCTTATTATTAAAAAGTTCTGATTATATTAATCATGATTTATTACAATAGTAAGTAATTTTAATAATAATATAAAATAATATCCAATCAAACATAAAACAATCCAATCAATCAAAATAATTAGAAATCTAACTAATATCAATCAAAACAAAATCTAATAAAATATTTATTATAGTAAAATTAAAGAAGAAGAAGACGATAATACAACTACACCATTTGTTTTAGTTTTAAGAAAATGGCAAAATCTTCACCCATCAATGGAGTTTAGATGTTATGTTAAAGATAACAAGCTAATTGGTATCTCACAAAGAGACACCTCAACTTACTTCAACTTTTTAAAAGATAAAAAAGATAAAATTTTAAATGCAATTATAAATTTTTATGATAATTCTATCAAAGAGAAATTCAATTCAAGTTCATGTAACTATTATTTTATTAATAAATTATTAATTAATAAAATATTATTAATTTATATCATACTAACCAAATACTTGTTTTTATAATATAGTTACATTTGATTGTTATGTTACAAAAGATGATAAAGTTTGGGTTATAGATTTTAACCCAATTCATCCAAGTACAGAGTCATTATTATTTTTATGGGACGAACTATTCCCAGAGTTAATCGAAGACGATGAAGAAAGTTTACAAGCTAAAAAAGAAGACCCAATTAAAGAGATTACCGAATTGGAATTTAGAATTGTTCAAGATGAAAACTCTATCAAACCAAACCTTTCAATGAAGAGTAGATTACCATTAGAGTTAATGAATTTATCAAATAGTGATAATATCAACGAACTACTTCAACAATTTAATGACCAAAATAAAAAATAAAAAAATAAAAAACTTTAAACTAATCTTTTATTTATTTATAAATTTCAACTTTTTATTAAACACCTTAACAATGTTGAAGGTGTTTAATAAATTTTATAGTTTTATTTAAAAACTAATTTACATTATAAGAATTTAAGAAATTCAAAATTGAAGATCTTAGTATACGCGAAAAGTCTGTACGATGCTCTTTTGTTGATCTCCATGTATAGCCTACTTCAACTTGAATGGTGTTAATTGAAAAAGCTTCTGCGTAGTGCATTACTGTGAATGATCCTGTAAATTCTGGGTGTTCTCTAAAGTATGCCATTGGTTCTTTTGATTTTAACTTTTCGATCTCTGCAAGTTCATCTTCTGGCTTGATGTAGTATTGATTGTTTTTATCTGTAGTATAGTCTGATGGTAAATTATTTGGGAATACTTTCACTCCGTTCTTTTCTAGATAGCCTAAAATACTGTTTTCACCAATTAATGCCTCTCTACCTAAATTTTTTAATAATAGTTGACAGGTTTTGGTATCCTTTGTTCCTCTGAGGATATGATCCTTTAAATCTGACTGTCCATGAATATCTAGTAATACAACCTTTCCTTGTTCATAGGCTTCTTTATGATGTTGTTTAATTGACTCTAAAAACCTTTTGACTGTATTATGATAAAGTTGATAGTGTGGTTTCATTCTTTCATCCTCGAATGCCCTTTGTTCGCCTCTATTAAAGTCACATTGCTCTCTATGGATTTTTGAATATACAATGTATGGTCTTGGACAATCTTGTTTATAATCTACTAAATTTGAGTCGAAATTAATATTACAGCATGTACAATTTTCATTTTTTGTTGTTGCTGTTGTTGTTTTAGCTGTTGCTTTGGTTGCACAACAATCATTTGATTTACAGCTATTATTGCTATTATTACAGTTGCTGCTATTATCACTACTATCGCTATTACATCCACAACAACAATAAACGCAATTAAAACATTGTATCATTGAAATTGCTAATTCTTGTGTATACCAATCTGGGTCAATACATCCCGATTTTCTTATTGGAATATCTTCAATCTTTAATCTACCACTATGTGGGAATGTGACACTATAATAAAATAATATTAAATAAGTGATCATTTTTACTAAAACTATACAATTATTTTATAAAACCTACACCATCGGAATATTCCCTTCTTGGTAGAAAATATACTCATCGTCGTAGAATAAAACCTTATTTCCTTTTGCTAATACACTGTTATTATTATTATTATTATTACTATCTCCCATCCTTTGTTTTTAAAAAATAAAAAATGAAAATAAAAAAAAAAAAAAAAAAAAAAAGTAATTTAATTAATTTAAAAAAAAATTTTCATTTTTTTTATTTTTATTTTTAAAATTATAATTTTTTTATTTTGTTTTATTTTATTATAATTTATTAAACGCAAATATATGTAACATTATTACCAGTCATAACATCATTACAATTTTGTGGGATGAAACCGGCTGTTTGGGAAATTGGGGAACCAGAACATGAAGAGCCAGATGGATAGACTTCTTCGACCAAGTTTGTGGCATTACAAGTGAAATAAAGCATTTGGTTATTAAAATCAAAACAAGTGTTCATAGTTCTAATTTGAAAAGATTCAAGTGTTTCCTTCCAATCACAAGTTTCTGAAAATATAGTCAAGAGGGCATTTGATGTTGGAATATTGATTTCATCAACACAATATAATTTACCTGGGAAGCCTTCAATACAGCTGTCGACTGGAATAGAAATTTTATCGAATGGTTCTCCGGTACAGTTCATTTCAGAGTAGTAGGTAATTTCAACTGCTTGGTTGCCATTTATACATCTTGATAAACTACCATATTCGCATAATCCATCTAAAGCGAATTCACTGGATACTACCGAATTTGTGCATGTTGTGTCTGTGGGTTGATAAGTTTCGGAATAAATATATTTGGATGGGGATGATGATGATGATGATGACGACGACGACGATAAGGAGGATGAAAAACCTGTAGCAACAAATAAAATAATTAAAATAACTAATAATTTCATTTTTAAATTTTAGGAAACTGGAGATAAATAAAGCAGAAAAACAAAAATATGGATATTTATACCAAGGGTGTCTGGGGTTAAAAAAAATAAAAAAAAATAAAATTTTTGTTGGTGGAAAAAAAAATTTAGTTTTTCTCAAAATTTCGAAAAAGTATCAAAAAAATTCCAACATTTATGTTTTTTCATTTTTTCAAACCCAAAATTTTCGAAACCAGATTCTCTCTGTTTTTCTTTCGAAATTTTTCACAAAAAAATATTTGAAAGATTGATGGTTTTAATAAAATTTTCTAAAAACTAATATTTGAAGAAGGTAAAGAAAACAAGTTTTATTGGTTTATTGGTTTAGTATTAATAGCATCAAAAATGTTATCAAAAAAATATTTTAGTATTTTGCTTAATAAAAAAATAAAGGAAAAATTTAATTATAAAATATTTTTGGATTATATAATACAAGTAAATTTTTTATTATTATTTTACAATTTTTTTTTTTTTTTTTTTTTAGTTGCCTTGAGTTGCAGATTCTGTTTGGGTTTTAGATAATTCTTTTAATCTATATTTTAATCTCATTGATTTTGGTAATTTGTTTCTAAAATGAATAACAACACCGACTACAGCAGCAAGAGCAACTACACCACAAACAATACCGATAATACCGCCGGTTGGAATGGAAGCACTTTTTTTGCTACAGCTGTCACCACTATTTAAGAGTAAACCCATTGATGATTGAGATACTTGAACTGAATGTTTACAGTTATCTAAATCTTTTTCTTCGCCAGTTACTGGGTCATATGATTTGAATTGTACATTGCTGAAACCTGAACCGCTTAATTTGCTATAGGTGATCAAGGTAGTATTCTTTGGTTCGTTGCTAAGATTGGATGGGACTCTGATGATAAGGGTGGAGTTTTCGATGTTGGCTTCTTTATTTACGTTAATTAATGATGATCTATTTTCACCAACAGTAAATGAAATTGAATCTTTAACAGAGTTTAAGTTGTTTTGAATTGAAAGAGTGAGATTATCGAGTTTCATTTGAAGAGTACTGTTATTTTGGTCTAAGTTTAACATGATGGTTTCTCTAGCAATTTTAATTGAACCATTTTCATTTACTAAATGAACCAAAATACTTGTAGCGTTACTATCTCTAATGGACTGGAGTGGATTTTCGATATTAAGTTCACCAGTGTTTTTAAATGTTTCGGTACCGTTTTCATTATTTAAAAGAACATTTGAGGTTAAAACAATTTTGGCATTGTTTGTTAAAGCTGCATCTTTATTAACGATAATATCACCGTTGAATGTCAATGAACCATCTCTATTGATTAAAGTTGAGTTGTATAAATTAATTACTGATCCGGTAGTATCTAAGAGAACTTGGCCATTTAAAATCTCGACATTAGAATTAACCAATGTCAAATTAGCCTCACCCTTCATAACCAATGAACCACTTGTAATTGTAAGAGTTGAATTTTCCATTAAGATATTAGCTTCATTTGTTAAAGTTTTGCTAAGGGAAATATCAGATTCGATAGCATTAAATTCACCACTATTAAGGAATTGACCATTGCATGCCAAGCTTGAATAGTTAAAATAAAAACCGCCATTCTGTTTAATAAAATAAAAAAACATGTTAATATATAAAAAAATAAGTAAACTATAAAATATTACTACTACATACATTTACATAAACACCCTTAATGGTTAAGTTTGAATGATGGAAAGAATTTAAAATTTCTTCGGAATGAGTATCATCATAGAAATAACCGTTGACGGTAAAATCAACATAGTTAAAGCTATACATTGATTGGTTATAGAATGAAGTTGAACCCTCTACAGTAATTTTAGAATCAAAGGAAACAAAAGTTGAGGAATTTTGGCAGGTAAATAAACCGTGGACATCAAAAACTGTGTCATTCAATTGGACAATAGAGTTACCAGAAAAGAGACCATTATCATAGATATCGAATTTTGAATCTACAGCAACAAGAAGACTCTCACCAATTGTTAATAAGTTTGAATCTAATACAACATTACTTTGGTTAAATAACAATACACTGTGATCGGTTAAGCCAAGAATTCTATTATCAGAGCTATATAGTTTATTTGAAATGGTAACATTACTATTTTTAAATTCAAAATAAGTATTGTCAAAACCTTCAAAATCACCATAAATTTGCATGGAACTATCTTGGAAAAGACCAGATGTATTAGAGTAGAAATAAAATCCTTGATGAGTTTGGAAAACGGAATTAAAAACAATAAATGAGGAGGCATTATTGAATTGTGACTTTTCGGTAAAAACAACATTTGAATCTAAAATACCAAAAAGAGTATTTTGTGCACCAGAGGTAAAAAACTTTTTATCGGAAACAACATCTGGGCAGCCATCAATAATTAATTGACTTTCACGAATTATAAAACTTGTTGAATTATCTAAAATTCTAACCTTTGTATTTTGGAAATACATTGAAGAATCATAATCCTAAAAAAAAAATATTAATATATTATATTTTTTTATAAAAAATGTTTTAAATAAAAATATTTACCATTAGAGTAATATAGCCATAACATGTGAAAGTGGAGTCATGAAATTCGAAACGGGAACCACTATGGAGCTCAATATAACCTTTTGGATTAAATAAGACGTTGCTTGAATATGAGGTAAAATTTGATTGTTGTTCGAAATATAACATGGTAATTGAAACTTCACTACCTTGAGCAAAAATCAAAGCTTGTGCACCTTCAAATACATCTATTTGATAGTAACTATTATAAATGAAATCGAGACCATAAACACTTTGAATATATGTATTGGGTGCATAGAAAATACTTCCATTTAATCGTATATCACCATTTGTAACTATATAGTCAATGTCCATAGCATATAAATTATCTTGAGATGGATCGTTTTGAATATCAACAAATACAAACGCACCAAAATAAATAACTAAATATTGAGATTGGATACCATAGAATGTATAAAGAAATGAGTTTGATACGACATTGTTGGCACCAACATGTAGTTGATTAGATAATATTTTTGTGGCAGAGTTTATAGCTGTAAGGGATGGTGGAACTTGAGAAATATCATTTAAAGTTGGAATTCTTTGTGGGTTCCAATTTTTTGGATCATTCCATTCACCATAATTTGTTCTGAAAACTAAATCTTGGGAATTTATAATATTAATGATTGTTATAAAAATAAAAAAAATTAAAAACTGGAATTTTTTTAAAATCATTTTTTTAATTTAATATATCG